AATGATACAGCGGCAAAAGCAGAGGCCGCCCGAGCAGCAGAGCACTCCGGAGAACTAGGTGTGGCCTGGCCTGCAAGGGAATTTCTAGCGGAGGCATAGCCCGACCGAGATCATTGTAACAAAATGTGGCCAAAAATGTGGCCTAACAATAAAGGAAAGAATAAAGTAGAAGAAGGTGCTCTGGCGGGGGGGGATTATAAGTTCTTATGCTAAATAGAGCCCTGCATGAGGCAGATGAATAATCTTTGGTAGCACAGTATTATGCAGATTGTTTATTGATTCTGTTCTGTTTGTTATGGATTTTTCAGATATTTTTGTGTAATAATGCCCTCTTGTTTAGTGCAAAAATAGCTTTAATATTTTTTAAAGTTTTATGTAGTTTTTTTTACATATTTTTCACATGAAAATTGAATTGAATTCCACTGAGATTAGGTGTACAAATAATACCATTCCATACAAAAAAAATTTTTTTAAATGCCAAAGTAGAAGAAACATTAAAAATGATAGAAAACTTCAACTTTGAGTCGCTATATCTTCAGATATATCCATTCTATTACCACGAATCAAAAATCCTGTGAAAGGTACTATAATTTTCTTGTCAACCTATTACTTTTTGTGGATATCCGCGCTGCAGGTTCTGAGTAAAAATTATGAAAATGCAAACAGCCATCGAATTGCGGTTTTTGAATTTTTAAAAAAGATTTTGGGGGTATATTGCACATTTTAAGTATGAGAAAGTGATCTACACATCACGGCCCACAACCTAAATTGTGTCTCGTGCAAAGTACAAAATGACTGTCGCACAGTGTAATTATTACCAGCAAATACACAATTTAAAAGGCATTTAAAAAGAGTTTTACCATTGATCTAATGTTTCCATTTCCTGCTGCTGCTTGCAGCTAAAGAAAAAGGTCTATGCGGGATTTTTGGCCAAAAATATATTACGAATCTGAGAATTCTATGAACAGAGAGGATGATCTTTAATTGCCTAAAAAAGAATCTCCTTACAGTGTTTTAGGTGGAAAGTAGCCGCTGCAAAAGTGTTCCATTGGAAATCCTTATCCGCAGCACCAATCTCCAAATAATCTTAGACTCGATTCAGCAGCAGATGAAATTTCAACAAGCATTTCGTATGCCAGAGAAAACCCTCACTGTCTCTGTCTCTTTCTTCCTCTCTCTGTGTCTCTGTCTCTTGGATCTCTCTCCCTTCCTTTGTCTGTTGCAATTATGTTCGATAATTGCAAATTCCTTTTGGCAGACGAGAACCTGGCCAAAACAATGATGAGCAGCTGGGGAAGTATTCGTCGTTCTCACTCCAAGCGACTGCCAAATATTCGGCCATTCGAAAAGGAGTCCACAAGTCCGCAGAGTTCTCTTCTTCCGCTCCGCTCCTCACCTGTTCCCACCCTCTTCTCTTGCCTTTTGGGATAACTTTTTCGATTCCGTTGGACTATTTCTGACTTTTGTTTTTAGAATTATTGGTTCTGCTGTCCACTCCCCCTCTGCTGGACTCATATTCACATTCCCATTCGTGTGTGTGTGTGTGATTCTGTGATTCGCTTTCTGGAAATCATTTTTTGGCTGCGTTTGTCCAGCGATCTCCCCCGAATTCCCCCTGATTCCCCGTTTCTCGTTTTTAATTTGCTTTAGTTGCGAGAGACCATAAAAAAAATGTTCCATGGCCCTTTGCCTTTGCCCAGGGAGCTTCTTGTTTCACTTTTTTTTTTTTTTTCTTTTTTTGTGTCTTTCTTTCTTTTGCTTTTCTTTTTTTTTTCTTATGCCAAATTCCGATACGATTTTGCGTGTTTTTTTTTTTATTTTTATTTTTGGTTGAAGTTTTGGGTTGGGTTTTTGGGTCTTTTATTGTCTTCACGACCACAGATTGGCTTCAATATGCGGAAGGAGTTCGGTTCGGTGGGGCGAATACGTGAATTTAGTTTTTAGGGTCTCGCAGTCCAAGTTTTATGATTATTGAGACCCCAGAGAGAGAGGGAGGGAGAGGCGACCCCTACTATGGATGGCTATCCATCCATCCATCCATCCATCTGTCTTTGCATCTCTTTCTCCAGCTATCTATCCATCTCTTTCTTAATACACAACTCTGTTTTGGGGTCTCGATTTCTCTGTTTCTCCCTGTTTCTCCGTTTCTCTCTCTGTTATTTTTGTGATTTTTGCGTGAGCCAATTATGCGTTTTGTTTCGTTTGTGGTTTTATTCCGTTTCCAAATCTGCTTTTCTTTCGTTGTAATTAAAGGAAACGTGACTTTTTGTCAGATTTCATCAAATCAAATCACAAATCAAATCATCTCTTCGCTTGCCCAGAATTGGCGTTGTTATTCCAGCTTATTGTTCGGTCTCTCTATCTCTCGCATCTCCCGAATGAATCTCTCTGTCCCCAGTCCCCAGTCCCTTAATTTGTTGTCTCTCACGTTGTTGTACTTTTGATGAGATTTGATTTGATTTGATTTGGCTTTGATTTGCGGAAATCATCTACAAAGGCAGGCCCCTAGGCAACTCAGGGCAAAGGGGCCAGGCAGTCAGGTACAATTATTATCGTCTGGAGAGTGCCATTAGATCAGACATTATTACGAGCAAGAAAGAAGTTAGCACTCCAATGCGATTTGATTGATAAAGATTGAGTGCTATGCTGGAATGGTGTAGGGGTTTGGATCTTGGCTATGCTTCGCTGCTACAATATGCCATGGAATGTGGACGAATGTTACCGTAGTACAACTTTCTAGGCTACAAACTCTGAATTAAATTAAATTTCTGCTTAAATCAGTTCTAAATAATTTTTCAGCTTTTGATAGGAATGGCTAGAAAAGTCAGACATTACGAAGAGCTTTATTTTGAAATCAAAGAAATCTTATTAGAATTTCGGGAATTTTAGTAGAAATTTAGGAGATCCTGAAGTTTCCAAAAATATTTTTCCTTTCCGATGTTCCTTTCATTATTCTCCATTTATGTCTTCTATATATATTTTTATGTCTCTTTCCTTATATTTCTATAATATTTTCTTTAGTATCCTTAGTACTCTTTTTTCTCTGTGTCTCTGTATTCTTTCAGCCTTTCACTCCCTAAACACTCCCTGTTGCTGTAGCTTTGTGTGGCTCAGCGTAATGCAGAATGAAGTTTTTGTTATTAAAGAGATCCTTTAGTACTCAATCTGAATACCAAATACTAACTTTGCCTCTCCCCATAGATCCCACTGCTGATTCCTTGTAGGAGTATTCCTCGCTTCGGTATGTTTTTGGGACTCCTACGAGAGCGAGTACTCCCTTTCCCTGCGTTAATTTCTGTTAAGTTTTTGTTGTTGTTGTGTTTATTGTAAACATTTCGTTGAGTTGAAACTCGTGTTGTTGTTGTTGCTGTTGTTGTTGTTAAATTGCTGGGAAGTTTGGAATTGCGGCTACATTTTCAGCCACTTTTTTTTCAATTCAGTTTTTCAGTCTGTGTTGTGTGGGGTTTTTTTTCGTCGTTGTTGTATTTTTTTCTTGAGAGACAAGAGAGGTCACATTTGATAGTCTGAACAAAAATCTTGTCGACGTCTTGAGTCGGTTTTTGTGTGTGTGTGTGTGTGTGTGTGTGTGTGATAGCAGCAGAGCCAGTGGAGTCCAAAGAAGCGGAGGTTGTGGCAGAGACACAGCCACAGCCACAGACAGAAAGCCGAACAAAATGCCTTCGTTAAGCGCTAGAAACGCGGCTTTAGGCCTCGCTCGTCTCTGGGTCTCTCGGTCTCGGGGATCTGATCCCCATCCATCCATCCCTCCTGTTGTATTTGTTGCTGTATTTTGTATCTACGTTTTTTTTTTGTTGTTGTATATTTCGGGGTTTTGGGGTTTGGGGGCTGCCCATTTTGTTTTTTGTGAGCGTAGAAAAATGTTATAAAAATGTAATTACCCGATGATGAATGGATTACACCACAAAAGACTAAGAGAGCGAGAGAGTGAGAGAGTGAGAAGAGAAGTGTGCATTGCTCTCGGGGTGTGCGGATGAGGAACGAAACGGCAGAAACGGGAACTGCTTGGAATTTCGTGTGGTGTTTCTTTCGTATGCCCCGAAAAGAAGTTAACAAGAAAAGGAAGGGAGCCCTGCAGTGAGAGTTGCCAGCAACACCGTTCGAGAGATGCTCTCACATTGAAATTGGTTTTGGGAGGCATTTAAATTACCTTTCTATGACTGATGAAATTACTAGAGATTTATTTATTTATTTTCAAATTATGGGAATTTTCCAAAAATAATTCAGAAAATAATGCAAAGATTTACCAAGGCCCTAAATAAAGTTTATAAAAATAAAGAGGTCTAATCAAAACCTAAAAATATGATCTTGAGCATCGCAGCATAAAGAAAACTCTCTTATATATTTAATAGCAGCCACCAATCGCTTGAAAATATTCCAATAATTATTCCCATTCTACTTCCTCGCTTTTGCTTCACTTATCAGCATTCCAAACCTCTCAAAAATTCCCACATACCCTCATTATAGAGCGCAAACTCATAGATCCAAACTCGTGGCATGCACCGCTTGTCCCCCGTCCCCCGTCCCCATGCACATGATTCCCTACGGATCTCAGAGCAAAGCTGCTGCCTGCCTGCCTGACTGCCTGAATGCCTGATGGCTGATGTCGGATGTCTGATGTCTAAAGGCCTGAGAGATGTCGATGTCTGACTGATCTGCGACTGTGGATGGGATCTGGGGAGCGGGTAATTGATGCATGAGATTAGTTTGTGGAGTTTAGAGTTTTTGGGGAGTCAGCGTCAGAGAGTCGGAGAGTCGGAGAGTCTGGAGGAGTTTCGAGTTTGAAGTACGTGGAAAATCCATAAGCGACGCTCGTTGCATAGATTCGAGGCAGTTGGTTTGGCTTGTTGGCGAGACAAACGCTTTAATGACCCGCTGACGAAAGTGGGTCAGTCACAAACAAAAATTCAGAAGGAACCAGAGATGGAAAGGGGAGTGGGAATACACGGGGATATGATAATGCTCTGGTCGAAATGACTCACCTTGAGTATGCACCTGCCGACGGGCTCGTTCTCGGCAACGGACACGTTGTAGAAGCTCTGATCGAAGATCGGTTCGTTGTCGTTGACATCGTGTATGGTCACCAGCACAGTGGCCGTCGAGGAGAGCGCCGGCTGGCCCCCATCCCGGGCTATCACCGTCAGCTGCGGCACCGGCTCCGTTTCGCAATCGATGTGCGATCGGGTGGTGATCAGCCCCGTCTGCGCATCGATCTGGAACCACTGGGCATGCGTTTCGGGCGTCTCGGCCAGCGCATAGCTGAGCGCCGAGTTCAGACCCTCGTCGCGGTCGTGGGCGAGAACCTGCAGCACCGAGGTGCCCGGATCGGCCACCTCCATGACATTGGCGTGGTAGAGCTCCTGCTCGAACTCGGGCGGATTGTCGTTGACGTCGGTGATGCGCAGGAAGATCGACTTGGAGGCATGCAGCGGCGGTGTGCCCTTGTCGGTGGCCACCACACTCAGCGTGTAATTGGCGGTGGACTCGCGATCCAGCGCCAGATGCACAATCACCAGATAGATGCTGCTGTCGCGCGTCGTCAGCGCAAAGTGACCATCGCCGCCATTCAGCGACACATTCACATTGGCGTACTCCGTCTTGGAGTCGGGATCGTGCACCGAAATGCGGGCCACAAACTCGCCCGGCTGTGCCGACTCCGAGATCTTGGGCGAGGCATCATCGCTGAGGAATATCACATTGATCGTCGGCTGATTGTCGTTCACATCCGTCACACGGATGGACACAAAGGCCGTCGTCTCCAGCGGCTGTTCGCCGTGATCCTTGGCCACGACCACCAGCTCGTGCAGCTCCTTGGTCTCAAAGTCCAGCGCCTTGTTGATGTAAATGGCGCCCGTCTGCGCATCAATGCGGAACATTTGCTCCTTGTCGCTCTGCCGCCGATTGATGGCGTACTGCACGAGGCCGTTCTCCTCGGCGTCCGTATCGGAGGCGTACACCTGCAGCACACTCGTGCCCACCGTGGCGTTCTCCGGCACGGTGGCAAAGTAGCGGCTCTGATTGAAGATCGGCTGATTGTCGTTCACGTCCTGGATGGTGATGTTCACGGTCATGAGGCCACGCAGCGGTGGCGTACCGCCATCCAGCGCCTCGATCAGCAGACTGTAGCCGGGCGTGGTCTCGCGATCGAGAAATCCGCTGATCTGCAGATCCAAATAGAGCACGCCGTCCCGCTCGCGGTGCGAGGAGAGCCGAAAGGCATCGTTCACATTGCCGGACACAATGTTGTACCGCTGCGTGTTGTACGGCTCCAGATCGAGATCCCGCGCCGGCAGCAGTGTCCGCTTCACCTCGCGCGGCGTATTCTCCGGGAATTCGATGTGCATGGCGGGCTGTGGAAACTGCGGCGCATTGTCGTTCTCGTCCTTGACGGTGACCACCACACGGACATTGAGTCCGCTCAGCGGAATGGCCACCAGGCTGTAGGAGGCACGCGTCTCCCTGTCCAGCCGCACCTTCGTGCGAATCTCGCCCGTCATGCGGTCTATGGCCAGGTCCGTCTCCACGCCCGCCTCCGCCACAATAATGTACGGCGGCCCACTGTCGATGCCATCAAAGTCGCCAATGTAGCCGATCTGATGGTCCACGGGCACACCCTCAAAGACCTCCAGCTTGCGTTCGCGCTCCTTGTCGCCGGCTGCCGCCTGTGCGGCACCCGCCAGCAGCAACAGCAGCAGCAGCTGGAGGTGCGGTAACGCGGAGAAGCGTCTCCGGCAGCGATGGAACATTGTGTAGTCCTTCGGGGGAGCAGCACTGCCCCGCGTTTGGCTGTGCATTGTGGCGGCTTCTGTCGTTGTGGTTTGGTTTCTGGTCGCAGATCTCTGCTGCTGCATCGCTGTGGATGCCAACGCTGCTTTCATGGCGCTACTCGAATGTTGCCGCATGGCTCTGGTTGCATCGTTCCACCATTTCCATTGAGAAAGCTGCAAGAAAAAGGAGAGAGACAGAGAGCACATTATTAGAATGGCTTTTGGTTGACAAACACAAATCGAAGGCCGCCCACGCGACTTCCCCCCAAAGAGAAAAAAAAAAACCTCAAAGATAAATCGGAACTAATAGACTGATAACTGCGCTAAGTCCCAAGTTTCCCCACCCCCCTGCATGATGGAAGCTTACGCATTGTGCAGGCATTTCCATTTCCATTTCCATTTGGCGATGACGCGCGATGGCCATTTGGATGCCATTTGAAATGCTAATAGACGAGGCAGGCAGGGCAGTCGGGGGCAGGGGCTAAGAGCTGGTAGACAAAAGAGACGCGAAGAACGAGTGGAGAGAGGAGTGTGAAGAGGGGAGAGAGGAGTGAGTAGAGTGAGTAGAGAGGAGAGTAGTGGAGAGGCGAGTAGAGTCTTGGCGAGATTCTACCTGAGTGCGTGCGAAAGGTTCAAAGGCTAAAAGGGTCTCTGTGCTCCTCTGTGCTCTGTGGTTCTGGTTTTGTGAGATACACACACACAGGCACACACACACACAGAGGCACACACACACACAGGCACACATACAAAAAAAAAAAAACACAGGCACACACACAGAGGCACACACACACACACAGTCACCACAGTGAGAAATCGAACAAACAATTTGAAGCGGGAATGGCCTGCCTGGCCATTGTTGACCAACAAAAACTTTTTTGGGGCCTAATGCCGCTGCCATGTGGCCATGTGGTGGATAGAGGATAGGATGGAGGACTGCTGCTGGCCGTGGCCGTGGCAATTCGTGGCCAACAATTTAGTTAACAAGACCATGACTAACACATTTCTATAGCTGTAGCTGTAGCTGTGTGTGTGTGTGAACATTTGTTTCTACTGCAATTTTCGTTTTAGATTTTTCTCGCGCGATAAGCAAAAAAAAAAAACAGAAAAAAAAAGAAAAAAAAAAAAAAAAAAAATCGAAAAAAAACCCAAACAAAAAGGGTCGTAAAATTATGAATTATTTTTTGGGAAATTTCATTCGTGATGAGCGATAAAGATCGCCCGCCAGAGCACTCCATTTGGATGATCCTGGTTGCTGGCTGAAGCAATTAAAATTGAATTAATGAAGCGGGACATTCACTCATTCAATGATTGACACAAATGCCACATCCCAACCCAACCCAACCATGGGAAATGCACAGAGAGAGAGAGGAGAGAAGTGTCTTTTTCTAGAGGGAGAGAGAAATTAGCAAAAGCAAAGCCAAGAGGCGAGGCGCCTTTTGATGTCCATCTGAGAGCTGCCGCCTGGCTGCTGCTGCTGCTGCCATTAGATGCCTCTAATAACTTTATAATGATCATGGCAGAAGTAGTCGTAGTCGTAGTCCCTTCCTTCCTGGCTGGCAGAGGAGAGTCAAGAGCCAAGATCGTTTCGTAATTTAATAAACTGCAATGGAAATGGAAATCCCAACTGCAAACGCAGTTCACTTTGTACGCAAATTGCCACTGAGAGATGGATGGATGGATGGATGGATGGATGTGTGAGCTGCTGTTGCGGAAATGTCAGTTTGATTTGCAGTTGTCATAAGTTTAGATGAACTGCTAATACCCAAACACATTAGAAAGCCCATGGAGTGGAGTGCGCTCCAAGTGCCAGTGCCCAGTGCCGAGCCCCCAAGTGGCGCCGCACAGCTCAGCTCTCTCTCTCTCGCTGGACAACTGGACAGGTGGCAGAGTCCCGTCGGATTCTGATTCTCATACGGTTTCTGATTCTGTTTCTGTTTCTGATTTGAGTGCCAGCTGGCGGTCGCCTTGCGTGTGGTGTGGTGTGTGGCTGCTGCACCTGAGTTGTGAGATGGAAATGCCACTTGGAATGGGTTATGGGCAACGGGTGGGGTGCAGTAGGAATGGGAGCCACAGCCACTGCTACTTGTGCACTCTGGCGGCATCTAATATCGAATGACAAAGTTGTAATTATATCTGTAGTTCCAGTTCGTTTGCCAGGGAGGCAAACTCTCCGCCGGTATGATAATATTCCCATATCCCAGGAACATTAAAAATTATGCTTTTTCCCTCGAGAATTTTTCGTCATTTCGTTTGGTTTCGTTTGCGCTTTTACGAGCGCACAAAAGATCGTTAAACCGTAGCCACAAAAAAAAACAACACACAAAAAAAAGCTTAAAAAAAAAGACAGAAAAAAAAAAACAGAAAAAACAGAGCGGCATCAATAAAATCTAGTTAATAGCAAATAAAGGCCACAACAAATGCCCCAATACCCCATTGGAACTCCATTGGAGCTACAGCGAAGAGACAGCAGGAGAATCACAGAGGGAGAGAGACAGAGTGAGAGAGAGAGGGCATGAGAGAATGGCATAAAAACGTACCACAATCATAACAATAACAGCGTAAACTTTACAGCGCAACTAATTAGTATCTCTCCAGAGAATGTGACTAAGCGAGAGACACAGAGAGATGGCTCAGGGAAAGAGAGATGGTACGAGAGAGAGAGCGGATATTTGCAACGCGTGAGAGAAACTTTTCCTGGAGGATATTTATTATTGCAACTGAATGGACAGCGTGACACGATTGATGATTATATTTGGGAATGAATGGGAAGGAATTCCAGAAACCTTACATCAAGAAATTCTGACAGGGGTTCCAGTAAAGAACGTACGGAAAATGCAACCTTCTTTTTCTTTAAATTTGTCAAACAAATTCCCATAATAAAAGAGCAGCAATGACTGCTTAGATTAAGATTAAGCGGATCAGTAGATCAGCTCTACAAAAGGCTCAAATGGCGCAGAGCAAAAGAACAATCTCAGCTAAGGGACATTTCCGAACCGTTTGACACGTAAGGGATGAATGAATTTGGCTTGGATTTGATCTGTTAAACGAACCAAACCATTCAGTTGCCTGGGGGAAACATCTCAGTGAATCTCCACGACATGAAACTATCACGATTTCGCTTCTTTCTTTTTTAATGTTTCAGTGCAGTCTTCTGTGAGGAAATCATTTATAAAACATAAGAAAAATACCCAAAAGAGCAACTAAAAATCACTAAGAAGAGAGAATCACTGCCTGTCTTTTCTCTCGTGTCACGCTGTCATCTCTGCAGACATCTCCCATTGCTCCTGCTGTCAGGCAAATACTTTTGCATAATTTATATCCATTTTTGGGGCTTATGCTGTAAATTTAGATACTAAAAGAAGAGGTATGGTAACGCGTACCACGTACAGAAGCAACAGCAGCAGCTCCTGTTGCAGCAGCAAAAATTAGAACAAAAGTTTCGCATGGCAGTGCCCAAAGCCCAGTCGAACATTCAGTGGCCAGTAGCTGTGGCCGGAAGAAGTGTTTTGCCAGTCGTTTAAACTGACTGACCACCGAACACTACTCACTAAACGAATGAGCAAACTCCACAAGAACTTCCATCCAACCATCGATGGAGAGTGAGAGAGAGAGAGAGAGAGCCTCTGGGGAGTCTGAGACTCTCTCATTAACATGAACATTACACATGTACTCGTCGCAGTCGCGCTATATTCTAGTTGAACAATTAAAAAGCAACGAAATCAACTCGTTTTCAACTGCTGCTGGTGGCTGCTGCTGCTGCTGCTGTTGGCTCCCGCCTCGTGATTTAATTGCGAATTATGCAAAATTGTTGTCTAAAACCAGAGGCTAAGAGGCTAAGTAGGTGGTAAGTAGACGCTTTAGACGCTTTGAAGCGTGTTTAATTAAATGTTGAGTAATTTATGAAAAAACAGCAAAAGGCAGCAGCAGCAGCAGCAGCAGCGGAGGGGACTAAACTGCCAGTTACAGATACACACTCTGGTGGTAATAAGTTACTTCTAATGACTTTCTAATTGTCCGACACATAAACAGCGAAACTTTAATTGTTTGCATATTAATCGGCAGCCAATTTAGATGCAAATAAAAGCAGCCCCCAAGCGTGTGGATGCGAGCCAACGAAGCATGGCTGCTGGCGGTGATCGGGAAAGCGTGAAGGAAAGTCTCGTGCGCTTTTTCTTTCCACTAGGAAAAGTGCGAAAATGCAAGTGAAATGCCAGCCGGACAGAGGTGCAAAAAACAAAACCGCAGCAGCAGCAGAGTTTTCCATTTCAAAATCAGTTTCCATTTCAATTGCATTTTTGGAATTTTTCAATGCGAATTTTCACTTTCAAGGGCTGCCAGGGAGGGACGATGAACACTCCTTTAGTGTGGGGCGGGGAGGGATATGCCATATTCTGGCATAATGAGCGCTAATTAGCGCCGTCTGACAACTGTCAACGATGGCAGAGAGACAGGGAGGCAGAGAGACAGAGCGACAGGGAGACAGAGCTACAGGGAGACAGAGCTACAGGGAGACGGAGCGACAGGGAGACGGAGAGCGACAGGGAGACGGAGTAACAGAGCGACAGGGAGACGGAGTAACAGAGCCACAGGGAGACGGAGAGACATCCACTTGAGACAGCGACAGAGACGAGATGTTGTGTACTTTCATATCTTATCGCTTTGCCACGACAGCGGCAACAACATCCACAGCCAGAGCCACAGCCACAGCCAGCACATCCTTCAGAATGGCAACAAGGAGGCAACAAGAGCAGGAGAAATATGAAAAATACGCTCACGTTAGAGATTGTCAGGAATAACCAGAAATGGTTACAGACTGAATTACAGGTACATATGCGAAGCTTGGCATACACTTAAAGATGCATTCGATTTATTCCTATTATTGAATAAAGAAAGAAAAGGAGCAGCAGAGCAACGGAAATGTCTGCTGAGGGAATAAGTCTAAAATGTACTCCGTTAAAGTTAGAGTACATTTTGCCAGCGTATCACTTTAATTGCAACTTCATTTGCAGCTAAAGACTTTGCCTCTTGCAGATCGCTTTTCTGACACCTGTTACTCATGCCGCACCTCTCGTTCTCGTTCTATCTGTGGGCTGTGGCCGGTGGCCGGTGGCCTGTGAATCTGCCACAATTATGGCTTATTAATAGATTTTTACTACAGACCGGAAAGCGCTTCGCTATTGCGACTCAAAGTCTGACTGACTCGTGTCTCTTGGGTTCCTTTTTGGTGTTTTGGTGGGTAGCCGAAAGCATTTAGCAATAATTGTCATGGCCGAATGTATTTTTGGCCATTGTTTGGCACGTTTTATGGCCGCCATTAAGATCCACAAGCCAGAACTCCTAATGCTAATCCACGAGAGAGCGAGAGAGGGCGAGAGAACGATCGTGAGGTTCATTAACCCAAACAAAGAACGATCCAGCCAGCAGCCACAGCCCCAGCCCCCATCCCCCATCTGAGTGTCATAAAATAAAGATATTTCTTAATCAAAGTCCGAATACGATGCCCGAAATGTAGAACATTCCGTTCGCGCTTATCGCAAAGGCTTTTTCCAATGTTTTCAATAACGAATCGAATGGGCCTGCGACCTGGGACTGGGACTGGACTGGGCCTGGGACTGCGACTGGGGACTGTAACATTAAGACAATAAAATTATGTATGTGAACAGCCTACACTCGCGAGCTTAAACCATCTGCTTAGCCCAGTTTAGAGACACTCCCCGCAGCCTGCTCCTCCTTCAACTTGTAGATCTCTCCAGCCTGATTGATGACATTCCCAATTTAATCGCAATTTGATGTTTGGATGATGATGTTGCTGCTGCTGCTGCTGATCAGAGCCAGAGCCGTGGCCAAAGAGCGTGGCACATGTGTTGGGGGCCATAAAACAAATCGGAATCTCAGATTCAGGCAACAGCGATACAGCGATTGGCATCCAAAGAGATGCTCGAATTAAGTTTGTTTATTGTTTCAGCGGAAATATTTATGCCTATTTGGCACGAGATTGGACGCGACTTGGACTTGGACTTGGACTTGGGTAGCTGCTGCAACCAGTTCCATTTCCCTCAGCAATGAAGACACTTGTGTGTGGTGTGTGGTGTGTGGAGTGTGGAGTGGATGAACATATTCCCGGGCTAATCACGGCGTGGCACACACACACTCGACTGCTGGTGTCCGCCGAGTGCCACATTGCATGAGGCTCAACAAAGAAATTAGCGAGTGAGCGGATCAAAGAGGGGGGATTGTGGCTACGGGTTGGAGGTGTTTTTACTCTACAACAGCAGCAGCAGCAATGAAGCAGCAACAGGTGCGTGTGCTCTCTTCTCGGGGGCCACGTCTAATGTAATTTTCTTGGCCATGTCCATGGCTCTGTCTCTGTCTGTGGGGGGACTGTGTGTGGTCCAATGGTCTAATGGCCCCCGCTCCTGCTCCTGCTCTCCCCACACTCTGTTCTCTGCTGTGTGTTTGTGGCGAAAATAGATTAAAGCGTAATCTTTGTTTGTATAGCGCTAAGCATTGCAGCAATTAGTGTTGGCTGGCTGGCTGGCTGGCTGGCTGTGTGTGTGTGGTGCAGGGGGCACGCGGATTGCGGATCGCGAGACTGGAGCAATTTAAAGCGCATTAAACTGCGTTTTGCAAGTTTGTTGCCTCAGTCTTTCGTTTTGTAGCCCCCATACCCACCTACCCACCTACCCACATTTAACATTTCCCATCACCCATCAGTCGCACCCGCACCCGCACCATTCGACCACCTGCAACACCTGCCGCCGCACGAAAAAGATAAAACGACTGCCGCACACCCAAACACCCAAACACACACACGGACACACATACTGCCGTTATTTTAGGCCTGATAAAGCAAATAGACAGAGAGAGAGAGAGAGAAAAAATAGAGTCAGCGCAAAAGAGAACCAGAAAATGGGAAATGAAAATTATATTTTGTTCGCCTTTGCCGTTGCCTTTGCCATCGCATCGCATCGGATGCTCTCTGTCTCGCAGCAGCCTTTTGGTGGCAGGCCGCCTTCAACTTTAAACCCGCCAGAGATCTTTTGTTTTGTTTGCCCATTAGAGAAGGGAAACGGACTACACTCGGAGAATGGGAATAGAAACTGTAATATTCTACATTTGAAATATTTTATATACTATGTAGAAGATGTGAGTTTTTGTGTCTGTGGTGGGAATCTGCAATTTTTATTACTTTTGACAGACAAATTGTTCTTGGAAAATATTTATATATATTTCACCATGCAATTTCGAGGTTTTAATTTAATGTAAAATCATAAAATAAGAGCCTGGCATTGAAGCTTATTTATTTCATTGGAATACACATTTTGTGAAATTTAAAATAGAAAATGGCAAAGCGAGCATCTGTAAGTTTTCTTAATTACCCCCGAATTCTATACTCAATAGCTAATATCTTTCATTAAACCCTAACAAGTAATACACTTTTTTTACAAATTTTAGTGGTTTAAATATTTAAAAAATGTTCGGCTAGTTTTCCATTTTTGTATCAAGAAGAATATGAAATTTAATATTTATATATACATACATATATATTATATATTTAATAATATATATAATTTAAATTTAAAATTTAATTTAATCCAGAATAAGAAAACTAACAAAATCAATTTATAATTTCAAAGGAATTTCTTAATTTGAGGGCCCTAAATGAAAGCAAATAATATTTAAAAAGTCTACAAATTTGAGTGCTTTGAAGCCAAGTGTATTTCGAATATTTTATTGTGTAACACACAAAACTAGCACAAAATAATTCCTAAAAGATCTTTACAATGGGTAGAATAATTTAATTACACTTTAATTGTTTTTTCCGCAGTGTATTCTCCAGAAGGAAGTGTAAATTAAGGGCCATAAAAACCACAGTCATTCCATTCCGTCTCTAGCGCTCGACTATTTTGGCTTTTAGCAGCACGAGAATTGTATAAGCCCACTCCGTGCCGTCTGAACCCCTTAGAGAACACCCAGTAAACTCCGCACAATATTTGGGCCAGGCGCAGAGTTTTGTAATAATTTTATGGCCACGAACGGAGGAACGGTGGTAAGGGTAGGGGTGCCAGGCGGTGCACTTAATTGGAATGGCATTAGAAATGCCGAGCACGCCCAGCACTTCCTCTCCACGTAGAATTGTCAATTATAAAATAGTTTTGTGTGTCTTTAGTTTTTTTATTTGAGAATTTTCTCGTAGGGAGGGAGTTTTTCCAGGAATCACAGTTGGGCGACACATTTTTCCTATTCGCTGCACGTTTCGCTCCCCATCGAAGCAGCGCAGCGCAAAAGGGAGACAACAGAGTGACAGAGACACAGAGAGAGATATTACAGATCGATCGTTTGAATCGGATCGGATCAGTTCGGTTGGGATCGGTTCGGAGGATCGGTGTAAAACAGGTAGAATCGAACAACGAACAGAACACCAAACTCTATTTGTTTTTCCACACATTTTCCTAGCGCGACACAAAGCCAGAACCAAGCAGCAGATAGGAGGGGAGAAAACTCGAACAGAGGCACACACAAAAAAAAAAAAAAAAAATGGAATACAAAGTGGAAGAAGGTGAAGGAGAAGGAGAAGTCGAGAAGTCGAAGAATCAGAATTGGTAGCAGAGGCACAAGTGGAGGAGTCGTAGAGTGTTTTTCTTTGCTTCTCTTTCCACCCAGTTTGTTTTTCCATCACTTTTCTCGCTCACTCTTTTGCCGCCTTCCACCAGCTATCTGCCAACTCTTTCGGCCTCTAGAACACCGAAAGAAACTCCGCATTTTGCTCTAGGAAAAAATCTTTCCCTTGCCTCACTCTCACTTCTGCCTGTCCTATCCCCTGGACTTGTCTTTCCACACTCTTTTCTTTTCTTTCTCCGTTTCCCCATTTCTCCCTGTTTCCACTCTGTCTCTATATGCGGCATTCATTCTGTTTCATTTTCAAGTGTATTTCGCTCCTGTTTCTCCACTTTATGCCACAAGAATCATCGCCTCTGCTGCTCCGCTGCTGCTCCGTTCTGCTTCTAATTGGCTTTTGCTGTGGGTGGAGGAGGCGGATTCTCCCGAAACTTTTCCCGCTTACTGTTCTTTTCTTTTTGTTTTTTTTTTTGCCTACTTGCTGCTGTTGTGTGGACTTTTCATCTCTGTTTTCTCTTACATTTTTGCGGTGGCCTCTGTTTCGGTTGGTTCCGTGTTTTCCCTCCCAAGAGGGGCTGCTGCTGCTGCTGCTGCCAATATTTTTCACCAAAGGCGCAAATACACCAACAATTGCAGGCAGAGCTGCTGCCTGCCTGCCTCTGCCTCTGCCACCACACCACACAATGTTGGAGTCGCGTTGTTGTTGTTGTTTGTGCCACACGGCCAAAGCGAGCCAAAAAGAACTCGTTTGACTTGTTGAACAATATTTCTTTTTCTTTTTTTCTTCTTATTTTTGTTGTTGTTGTTGTATTTTTTATTCGCCTTTTACTCTTTTGGACTTCTTACTTTTTGTTGTTGTTTTTCTTTTGATTATTATTTTCGTGTGTGGATTTTGTTGTTGTTTTTCCAGCTTCAAAATTGAATTAAAATTTCGTTTGGTTTTTGCGATTTTTCAGCGACTTTTCGCGATTTTCATCGTTCGCAACCGATTTTACATTTTTGCGGCGAAAAAACAGACCCAAAAGAGGAAGAGGAAGAGCAAACGCGGCGACGGCGACGGCGACGACAACAAACGGCCAGAAAAAAACGCGGCGACAAATGGAGCAAAGGGTGCGCGCTGCGCTCAAAATATTATTAAACGGGTGGGGGGGGGGGACGACGACACCTTTTGCAGGGGGGGCAAAACACACACTTTTTATTTTTGTATTTATCTTTATTTATCTTTATTTTATTTGATTTATTTGTCTGCACTGCACTTGATTCGGGTATAGATATATCTTTTTTGTTGGCTGCCTGCTGGCAAATTCCAATTGCGATTCGATCCGTATATATTTGTCCGACGGCGGCGACACGAGAATCGTTGCTGCTTTTGGGGATCGTTCCGCGCGCTACAATTCTCCAATGTTTCAGCGACGAAAACACACGACAGACTGAAGAGAGCCAACGCTGGCTTAAAGGAGACACAGAGCCACAGGGGCCCACCACACAGCACACAGCACAGCACACAGCTCTGCTCTCCATTCCTGCTCTCTATTCCACCTCACCTGCGGGCTCACCTGTGCCCGCCGCCTGCTGGCGAGAGCCTCTCTTTCGATCTCTCGCGCTCGCTCTCGCTCTCACTCTGCTGCTGTAATGTGCTGCAGTGTGGTGTGGTGTGGTGTGGTGTGGTGGTGTCTTTCATTCCATAATCCACCAGAGTGGTTTGGTCGGTTTTCCTGGCAGAAGAGAGAGAGAGAGCCCACAGCATGGTCTTCTGTGGTCCATGGGTTATGCTTGCGCCGCATTCATTACCCTCTCCCCAGCAGCAGCAGCAGCAGCCAATGCTGCAACGAGAACAAGACAAGAATTTTAAAAGGTGCACCACACAATACACAAAAAAGAATCGACGACAGGTCCACAATTAGCCAGAGAGCCAGGCCCCAACGCATATCGCTCTCTATGTCTCTCTCTCTCTCTGTGGTAGGATCATGCCTGGTTTTTGTGGCTATAGCCATAAAAGCATTAAAGCCAAGATCCAGCAATGCACCCAACGCCTCAACTCGGCTTGGCTTGGGTCCAGTTGTGGCATGTAAATTAGCTGCAAAAGAGAGACAGACAGAGAGAGAGAGAGAGAGAGAGCGGCAGACTGCTCTCCAAACATGCGGCGACTCTCTCTCTCTCTCTCTCTCTGTTTCTCTGCATCTCTCTCTCAGGTGAGAGCATAAACCGGTTCTCCTGCGATGCTCACCTGTGTGCCAAGTTGTTGTTGCTGCCACTGCCACTATGCCACTCTGCCACTGCCTGCCTGCCCCTTACCCTGCCTCTGCCCCTTGTGTGAGTGCATTGAAGTGGCCTGTGGAGTGCGCTTTGGCGTTGAGTGTTTGGTATGCTGCACCGCACCCCCCCTCAGTCCCCTGTTCCAGCCTCCTATGACTGCGTCTGCTGCTGGCTGCTGCTTCCCATTGTTTTCGGCAGCCCGAAATTAGGCCTACCCCTTTGGGACCCCCCCCCTCCCGCTTTGCAACAATGTTGCGTGCCCCCAAAATACAAAAAAAACAATGCAAAATGTTGCGTAAGTTGCACATTTGGCGCCGCACGGCTAAAAGTTGCACCAGCAACAAAAAAAACCGTGCTGCAACTGCAACTACAACATAGGAGAAGTGCAGACGTGAGGGGGAGGGGGAGTGCAGTGTGCGGCCTGCTGTCTCTTCCGCCAGTGGAAGAGACCACCATAGAGATCCCATAGAGCAGATTCCGATTCCAATTCCCGAGAACTCTCAGGCATTCGCAAATTCTGCAATTTGTCTGGGAAACGTACACGAAAAGTGCGTGCCGTGTACCCCAGCTACAGCTACAGCTACAGCTCCGCGTTGTCCCCTGACTCTTTCTCTTTTCAATGCTGCAGAGCAAGAGAGAGATAGATACCCTGTACTCTTCGGTTGGTGGAGGTATTTCGGGGTTTGATGGAAGCAACTGGCAGCGGAAGACTTCACCTGTGATCTCTGCTTGATCGTATATTCTGGCTAAGCATCTAAGTAATGGCAAGTCTGACTTTCTGACTGTGGAGGAATGATTCCCGGAGTTTCCTGAGACAATAGTTTTTTTTTTTTAATTAAAAAAAAACTCCTCAGAGTTAGATATTAATCTGTTATCGTTGTACGTTCCCAAAATTATCTGAATTGGATACCTTCAACAGACAAAAAAAAAAAAAAATTGGAAACCAAAACCCAAAAAAAAAAATAAATAAAAAAAAAAAAAAGGAAATTAAGAGCCCAAAACCATTTTCTATTTTAATAAAGATCAAAAATGGTGAGTGTTTAATTTAAAGTTGGACGTATAAATGCTTGAAGCTTTGCCTTAGAATTAAAACCAATTAGAACTTATTGTGGGGCAGATCCCTCAATCCTCACAAAACCCTCCTCAAAAGGGTGTCCCCCATTCGAATAAAATCTCCGGCAAAATCATTCTCATTCTCACTTGTTGTTCCAGGCCTCGTTTAGTGGAAAATGCACGTTGGTGGCACTGGGCACTCAATGAGCAAGTGGCATGGGATGGATGGCTTGGGGATAGCGGATGGGGGGTCGATGTGAGGGAGGTGGCTTGTGTGTACTGTGTGCTGGTGGCAGACACAATGGAGCGACCATTTGGTCATTCGCCGCTTGTCAAAACTGTAAATGACGTCGCTTAGCTGTCGGCTTGCATTTGCCACTTTTGAAATGAAATGTGGAAATGAGTTAAGGCAAACGGGGAAACGGGGAAACGGGGAAACAGCAACAACGATCTTGACAGGCACTTGAAAGAGCCCCAAAGAGCAGCACCCCCAGCCAAATGTATCTCAATGTGTGTCTCTGTTCCAGTCCCTGCCCCAGTCCCTGCCCCAGTCCCTGCCCCAGTCCCTGTAGCTGCCCCTGTGCCTGCCCCAGTACCTGTGTGCCTGCCCCCTGTACCACTGCTTCAAGTGATCATAGATCTCGGATAGAGCTCTCTGGTCACTGCCGCCGCCACCCACACGCAGACCCAGATCAAAAGAGTCGGAGAACGAGAGCAAGACCCAGAGACAGACACAGAGACAGCGACAGAGGCAGAGTCAGAGTCAGAGTCAGAGCCCAGAGACAGACTTGGACTTGGACTCGTTGCAGCGCCCGCCCGCTGCTTGCAAATCAGTTAATGGCAATGGACACAATTGAGCATCGACTGGGGTTCTGGCTCTGAATGCAGCTGATGGATTTATGTTTGCGTTGAGTGCGCAAGATCCCAGATCCCAGATCCAAGAGATGCAGATGCAGATGCTGCGATGCAGATGAAGAATAATTTGCAGCAGCCATTGAAATTTGGCACTCGCTTAGAGACATAGAGAGAGAGAGACAGAGACATGGATATGGAATGGGATTCCCCCCTCAGATCAATCGATCAATTCCCAACTGCATCTCCAGCTGCTTCCTGCTTTGTCAACATTTTGGAGTCTCCGTAGAACGTTGAACGTTGCACGTTCGATCCGACGATCCGACGATCGGCATGTCGCGGGCCCACACACAAAAAACGACAAAACGAAGCGAATCGGAATCCATCATGCGAGTAATATGCAAAGTTACATAGGCCACAGAACAACATCTCCTCTAGCATCTAGCATCCATCCGAGGTATTTGAGCAGTGAGGCACTGAGGCAGAGAGACAGAGGCCAGGGCTGGGCTGGGCTTGGCTTGGGCTGGGGCTGAGGCTTCGTCTGATGCTGCGACTGGGGTTGGGCCTTCAAATCAATAGCCAAGCAACATTGTCGTTGTTGCTGTTGCTGTTGCTGTTGCTCTTGCTGTTGTCGTCATCATCCTTGGAATCGTCATCATCAACAACTGCAAACAACATTCGCCTGTCAGCGGCAACATCATAAATTGTTGTTTAGCCACATGTTGCTGTGGATCGTCGCGGCTGGCTCTCCTGGCTCTCCTGGCTCTTTGCAACTGACTCTGACTCTGCTGACTCTGGCTCTGAATCTGACTTTGGCAAAGGCTCCTGCCTCCTTCCTCGTTCCTCTTTAGCTCTTGCAGCATCCGCATCCATGCTACGGCTTTCATTGCATCCATCCAGGCTCTCACTCACTCTCTCTCCTTCTCCTTCTGCTTCTGCTTCGGCTTCGGCTCCGTCCCTCGATTTGCTCGGCAGGCGCGCCTTGGCCGCCACTCGTCTCGTCTCGTTTCGGCTCTTGTTTTGCCCAATACCCTTGCCCGGGCTGAGGAATACTTTATTATTACAGTGGGTACATTTATTGGCTTTTAACTATAATTAATTTATTTTTTATTATTATTATTAAATTATTATTATATAATTATTATTATTATTATTTATTAATTATTATTATTTTTATTATTTTATAGATTTAATACGCACCTTTCCTATTACTTCCTATTATTATTATTATTTATAAATTATTTTTTTTTATTATTTATAGATTTATACGACCCTCCATTACTTCTATATACTATTTATTAATTAGTTTTATTTTTTTATTTTATAGATTTTGTACGCACCTTTCCTATGACCATTATCTTCAGTCGGTAAGTCCATTCAATGTAATTTTTTAATTGCTGAAATTTATAGAAATATTTTTATTTATATTGTTTTTGTCTATTTTGTGAATAATTTCTTGATTTGTTGCACCTGAGAAGGAAAATTTGTGGCGAAAATTTTAGAAAAATTCTGTGTGTTTTTAAATTACAGACTAAGCTGTAGAAATTTCTTTACCTAAGAAACAATGTTCTACCTGAAAGCTTTGTCTTATATTGTTCTAATTTTGTATTCCCCCAAAATCGTATTCCTCTGAGAATATATAATTTACGTATTCCATATGTCTGCATAGGAATTGCAGTA